GTGGGGGGGGGGGGGGTGTGGTGGGTGCCCTGCCGCTCTGGAGAGAGAGGGACATGCAGTCTGCTGATGGCAAGCCCGTCACCTTTGCCAAAAAGCTGCTGTACCTCGCCAGGCTGGCGGAGCAGAGGCAGCGCCCGGCCCAGATCATTAAGGTCAAGGCCCACAAGAAGGGAACGGAGGAAGCCAAGTGGAACAAGGAGGCAGACACCAAAGCCAAGCAAGGCTCGAAGGAAGGGCTGATATGGAAGGCTAGTAAGCCCTTGGGGAATAGCCCCGTGTCAGTGGCTCCCAGTAGACACTGGGAGAGCGTGGACCTGGTGGGCTTGCAGGCACAAGACCCCAGCATCCGGGAGTTGCTGCAGGGTAAGGAGTATAAAGGGTGCAAAGTGTGGAAGGACAACTCAGGGCTGGTCCTGGCGCGGAGGGAGGGGGCGGACTTCCCAGTCTGGGTGGTTCCAGAACTAGTCCGGACGGAGCTGGTGGCCCTGGCTCATGAGCAGGGGCATTTGGGGACAGACAAGACCATGCTGAGGCTGCAGGGCACTGGGTGGTGGCCTGAAATGAGAGACGATGTGGAGAGGTACGTCAGCAACTGCCTGACGTGTGCAGCCAACAATCCTGATGCCAAAGCGGCAAAAGCCCTCCTGGGTCACCAGAGGATTTCTGGGCCATGGAGCAGGTTGCAGATGGAGTTTATTGGCCCTTTGCCCCAAACAGCCCAAGGGAACAGGTATTGCCTGGTGATCAGCGATAACTTCACTAAATGGGTGGAAGCATTTCCAACTCGAAACAACACGGCCAGCGCAACCGCAAAGATCCTGGTAGAGCATGTCTTCTCACAGTGGGGCATCCCAAAGGAGATCGACTCGGATTACGGCCAACGCTTCATTGGAGAAGTCACAAAAGGGGTGTGCCAAGCCCTGGGTATCAAGCAAAAGCTTCACATCATGGGTCATTTCCTGAAGCCTGGTTCAGTGGAAGGGCCCAACCAAACACTGAAGACAGCACTGAGAAAGCTCATGAACCAGCAAAGGAAAGACTGGGATCAGAAGCTCCCACTGGTCCTCCTGGCATTACGGGGGGCTGTGGTATCTCACGTGCCTGTTCCTCAAAAGCTGCCTCCTGCAAGAGACCCAAAGCCATCAGGACACTGGTGGCAAAGGGGGGAGCCGCCGGATGGAGTGCAGCCCCGCGTTCTGATGGATAGGTGGGTCCAGGACATGCTGAGGACGGTGTCAGCTACGTACCACCAGCTTGCCTCAGTTCAGGAGACCAACATCCCCAAGATGGAGAAGCAGCTGGGAGTTCTGCTGCGCCCCGTGGAGTGGAACACGGGGGACCTGGTAATGTATCGGGGGGTTACAGAGAAGAACCAGGTGCTGGCACCCCAATGGGTGGGGCCTGTTAGGGTTGTGAACAAGGCCAGCCCCTCCATGTACCAGGTAGAAATCCGAAAGAGGGCGAAAAGGCAGGAAAAATGGCTCCATTCTTCACAATTAAAAGCATGGAAGGGAAATTAACGGGGCTGGAGAGCCCGTCTTGCTTATGTTTTGCAGATAAAGGAAAATGGAAGGTGATTGTG